AATTGTACGATATTTTTACGTCGACGACTGTTTAGCATCGTTTGACGATGCCGAACAAGCAATGCCTTTATCGGATCACTTAAGAGTAACGCTTAGCAAGGGTGGTCTCCGATTATGCAGATGGTTGAGCAACTGCAGTGACGCCATAAGCAATATTTCAGAGAGCGAAAGAGGGATTAGTTGTGTACAGCTGAATATGTATCTAGGTACCCAAGAGTGTACTTTAGGCATGAATTGCCTTATTGTTGGCGATGCTTTTATTTTCCCGTTTGAAGCAATCCGGAAACCATTCACTAAAAGAGGACTGCTATTGTATGTTGCTCCTCTGTATGACCCTCTGGGTCTCGTTACTCCAATACTTCTAAAGGGCGGACTATTGTTATAAGCACTTCATCGCGGAGTTATAGCCAACCGATTGGCTATACTACATGAGAGCTCAACACATCAGCAATGATATCAATTAAAGGGGACAACTAATCCTGCAGACTACGGTAATTGCGGTCTGAAGGCGGACGACCAGAGGTGGGAAAGTTGGCTCCGGGGGCCGCCATTCCTGCGAAGCTTAGGAGAGAGTCCTCCATTCAAATTTGTCTTCACTGAAAAAATCGAAGGGCAGATTGAGCTTAAGCGCACAATGACTATCAACCAAACCACCGTCGCGATGAGCGTCAATTTACTTCCTTATCATTCGCAGTGGTATAAGCTGTTACGAGCAACAGCTTGGTTGAGGCGCTTTACGCAGTATATCAGCATAATGTTTGGGAAGAGAGGTGCCTTGTAAATACGGGTGGGTAGACTGTCGACAGAGCAGATTGAGCTTGCANNNTGCATGCGACAATGTTGTGCGTCTAGTTCAAGCAGAATCGTTCTCAGACGATCGGGTTTCGCTGATGGACCCTATGGGGCACGTACACAGGGGTAGCCCCCCATGTAAATTGTGTCCAATTTTATTAAATGGAATGCTTCGAGTTGGTGGTAGACTGCATTACGCGCACTTGCCACATGACGCAAGGCACCCAGCTATCCTGCTCCCAAGACACCATGTAACCGAAATTCTCATACGTTACTTTCATGAGAAGGAAGGTCATTAGGGGCCCGAGCACGTGTCATCTGAAAGTAGGAGGCGGTTCTGGATAACCAAAGGCGGTGCAGCAGTGAAGAGCGTTCTGAGCAAATGCATTTACTGTCGTAGGCAACTGGGTAGGCCAGGGTGTCAGCTAATGGCTCCATTGCCTATACATAGAATGAGTAGCCAATTGCCGCCATTCCACCCGGTTGTTGGAGAAAAGATACGGATGTATCTTCACCTGCATGACCATGAGAGCAGTACATCTAGAGGTAGCGCACTCATACTCAACGGACTCATTCATCATGGCCCTGAACCGGTTCATAGCTCGCAGAGGCAAACCAGAACACAAATTCAGTGATAATGGATCGAATTTAGTCGGAGCGACTAATGAACTACGGGCTTGTTTACGACCTTGGTCTCAGGATAAAATACATAATCATCTCCTTAAGAACGCAGTGCAGTGGAACTTCAACCCTATCACCAGTCATCGAGGGGGAGTTTGGGAAGGGCTAATTAAGACAATAAAGATAATACTGATGGCACTCCTCAGAGCAAAATAGGTGACCGACGAAGTGTTACTGACGGCCCTGGTAGAAGCGGATAATGTATAATAGACTGCTCGTTCTGCAACAAGTCGATCTGCAATCTTGCAAAGCATTCACGCCGCAGATGTTGCTCATTATAGGGCGGTACAATGCAAGTTCTGAGGTGAAAACCAAGACAGACCGTTTCAACCGTAGATGGCGTGAAGTGCAGGATATCGCAAATTGCTTCTAGAAGCGGTGGACGAGGGAATACTTGCCATTACTCCAAATCAGATCCAAGTGGTAAATAAGACAGAGGGACTTTCAACCGAGAGATTTGGCATTAGTTGTAAAGGAAAACAAGGAATGAATGGCCTTTGGGCTTTATACAACAAACCAGAAAGAGCACGGATGGAATGGTCCGAGAAGTGAAGGTAAAAGCCATCAATGAATCATTCAGAAGTGATGTCAGAATTGTCTGTCTTTTAGAAGGGGTCCTGGACAATGTTCCTGGTGGTGAGCATGTAATTGGTTGACTCCAGGAAATGATTCGTTTTATTGACCTGCTGTATTTTGCGACCTTCCACTTTTTTCCCGCTTATTGAGAAGAAATATTTAATTCCTTGTCACTGGCGCTTATCATGGAATCTTTGGTCTCTAATACTTTACCCTACATTTTCCTTACAAATGTGCCCCTGTCGTTTGTGTCCATCTCTCTAAAATTTCGATACTTCAAATAGGAACACTTTCTGTAATATCACCTACATGACAATCAACAAGCACACACATAATCCTGAATATTCGGCTATTCAAGCTGAATGAAAGATTTTGAGCACAATTGTGATGCTTTGACACTTCAACAAGAAATATGGAATTCACGAACGCAATTAGCAGTGGTTAATTTGAAAATGAATAACTCGGAGCGGAATGGGCCATAACTGAATATATCGGCTAATGGACATTTGGGTCCATTGGCAACATAATCTATTCAGAGCACTTGGGCTCTTTATTCGGCTAATGAATATTTGGGTAAATTAGCACTCAAGCTATACCAACTTGATTGACGTCATTCAAAATAATGGTTTGCGAAATCTGCATATGAAGCGTCACGGAGTCGAAAACTTCTCTGGTCGTTTAGATTGAATTACCATGAAGCAATAACTAAACCTAAACCATGGAGCAATCTCCTTTTCATTCGTTAGTCAGACGTTTGCTTACAATCACAGTCATTGACCATTTATTCCTGTGTTATGTTTCATGCTTCATCTTAAATTTGCTTTTATTCTTAATAGTCAACGATTAGGAGCTACACCTCCGGGCAACAAGTTAGCTGTACAGGTTTATGGCTTACTCTTGGCATACTTATTTCCCACGAGTGTGAACGTCCCAGCTTCAGATTTTAGGTTGCCATCAATCCAGGCGAAAACAAAATGCATGTTGTCTTCACCAACGGCTTGATTGGGATTCCACAAAAAAAAGAGAATTTCCACTAAAATGGTGTCGATATTACCTGGACTAAAATGTCACCCATATACCTTGGTTTCTTTACTTGAACTATCCTGCCTCTCCCTCTGCATTTCATGCTGAATTTTTTGAAAATCCTTCCGAACCCATAATGATTTATGGTGAAATAACTTTATCTGTGTGTTGCTCTTATATTGATATTTCCCGATCACGAACACCACACATCATTATTTATCTGTTATTTTTGGATGCCCGGCACATTTGAATTTGGTGTGGTTTGAGAACGAGAGTGACTGTTTGCCTCTCTCTGGGCATCTTATTTGGCTCGCTTATTTGAGTGCTTTTGGCCACATATTTGAGGTTAACTTTATTGTACGTTTTGTAATGATTTCGTTAATTCAGTACCGTAGAACATTGCGGATCAATTGTGTTTTTACTTCGGGATTCGTATCAGTTGGGTTAGGCGTCACTCAAGTGCGAATTGGTTGACGTACACCCACCCGATCTTATTCTGTCTGGTATCCTGCCTGCTGAATGCCTCTGACGTTCAGCACTTTTTCTCCAGCTTTTCTATTTTCACTGTTGCTCCCTACACCTCTTGTCCTCGATGAATCTGTTTTGATGCTTTAGAGCCAAATCGGAATCACCATTTTAATTTCAGTTGGTGTCAAGGAACCCCGTTTGAGCATTTCCGCGCAAATGGTGTCGGTATTACTAGGACTGAAATGTCCTTCGTATACCCTGGTTCCTTCACTCAAACTATCCGGCCTCTCCCACCTGATCCTCGACTGTCTGGTATCCTGCCTCCTGAATGCCTACAAACTTCAGTCAGGTTGGCTCAAACTTTTCTTTTTTCACTGTTGCTCCCTACACCTCTTGTCCTCGATGAATCTGTTTTGATGCTTCAGAGCCAAATCTGAATCATGATCTTTAATACAGTTAAGCTTATGGGAAGAAGTTAATGTCAGTTACAAGAACTTTCAGTGCCTGTCAGTTATGTGACTCTCAGGTAAACGTACTCGACAGACACACGAAGATGCCAACCGCGAAATATATTTTCTTGCCCCTATCCGTAGTGTTTATTATCAGTCGTACACATTTTGCAGAGGACTATACTATCCCAGTTTTCACACGCCTGAGGCTATGTGACAGTCACCTTCAGTGCTGTGATGAACACTGCAAACGTCCAACTCATTTGAAGTCGCCCGCTACCACTCAGTTTTTGTCGAGCGTGCCTCCCGAATAGATCAACGAGCAACGTGTAGTCGAATTCGGATCCCAAAACGTCAATGAAACGAACGATCCAGCAATTCTCTACGGTACTGCATTATTAAACGATCAAATAAGCAAAAAAATCTGTACAAACCTTAAAGTGTTCTCAAAGCAACTTGAAAACGAGAGCCAAGTGTTACTGTGAGCGTAATTCAATAAATCTGAACGGAAGAAAATGAGTCTGGATAAATATAGCACGCTCATTGTTACGCTGCACTCGAACGAGTCAAATGTGAGCGGTCAGGTAGCGCTTAAAACAAATGGGGTAGGAATAAAGCAGTAAAACAAATGAAGTCAGACAGTGGGATCGATGTGCAAATATACAAGGGAGGTGGAACGTCAAGTGTCTATGTATGTATGAGTCGGATGGTATCAGGTGAATGGAGCGTGAAAGTTACGAACTGTGGAATCAAGGTGGAATGGCTGGGCTTTACAGGAAGAATTTTCACAGATCGATCAGTAAACCGCCCAGCAAAATCCTTCCTTGCGTGACACGGTCAAAGGGAATTTCAATTGAGCACCAATTCTCACCCTAACTACCTAAGCCTTACAGTCGATGTGCCATTCTCTCGAGCCTATCGCTGTCCCATCCGTCTCCGCCAGCTCAGGAGGTTAGCCACAAGCCGTTCTCCATGACTCGTAGTGCCTCCCACGCTAACCCGGAGGATTACTCAGCTGCTTGGGTTCCCGGTCAATTCCACTTTATCTCCCTCTAGATAGTAGATTCGGCGGATATCTCGCAGGGTTTCGCCGGATGCCTTTTTCACTTTAACCGTGCGTACGAGCCCGTCCTCGTCCGGGAGGCATTCTTTGATGATCGCCAGGGGCCATTCATCCAGCTGCAGTCGTTCATCTGCAAGCAGTACTATGTCACCAACCCGAAGTTTCGTTCTCTGACTATCCATTTCTGTCGTAGGTAAGTAGTCTTGAAATCTTGAAGTGATTCACGGGTTCGAGGCTGTTGCCCAAATGTCCCGGGTCC